TATAGCTTCTTATATTTTTAATTCTTCTTCTTTTCTATATACTGTTAATTGAATGGATTTCTTATGGAGTGAGGGGAACTAAAATAGCCTAGCTATGTTTACAGTGTTTATTATAATGTTTGTAAAATTTTCGCGTCGGCATTAGGCCTATTTCTAAATGAAATAATAAAATGCGACTTATACGTGACTTGTTTTTTTTTTTTTCTCTAAAAGCACAATTTTTTATACATGTAGCGTATTTTAACCATGCAGCAAATCTTTTTAAATATTTTGATAAATTACAAAAAAATAAAATAAAATGACTCTTTAAACCGTTTAACTGATTGTATTAATCGGTCAAAATTCTATACGGTCGGTTAACGGTTAACCGGTTAAGACGCCAGTCCAGTCTGTGCTGAAACACTACTGTCAATCAAACTATCGTGGGAGGGGCCTGTCTGTGTGCATCTGAGATCGGCTCGATTTGAGAAAGGGGAAATTATTTAATGAGATTAAAAAAACACTGGGTGGATCTTTATCATTATAGGGTGGTTGTGTACACACACTGCCTCCACACATTTCAGTTCAAACAACTTGTAAAAGTGCATGTCGCATCCGATGACCCCTTTAAGGATTTGATGAATTTTAAGGATAATCTCATCACACACAATCACTGGTCCCCTTTCATTCTCTTCCATGTTTTACTTTAATCTCTTTCTGGCTGTTGATCTCTGCCCTTAGGCTTGCTACAACCAGATTCAGCTTGAGAAGACGACATAGGAGGGGTTGGTTTGTGAGTGGTCTTACGGAGTAGGTGCCATTTAAATAGACACGGATTACAGGTCAAGTCAAGATGTGCTTATTTATTTCAGGTCTCAAAAATAAGCTCACTTTCCATTCATCTCTCTTAAGCACTGTTCTACAGAGATTACTTCAATTGTTATAACTGTTGAGACTCTCACATTGACCATCTGACTGACAGTAAAGTTACCCCTTGAAAAAACATGTAAATTTCAACACCCACATTACCTGGGCAGAAAAGAGACTTTTTCTGTTTTATACAAGATAGCAGAATAAGCACTCCGCATGTGTCACTAAGGTTATCATTACATGCAATTTCGGTAATAACTGACACTCGTTACTATATATAATATTCTGTATCAATCTGTCTCTGGCTTTTGTACTGATACTCAAATATGAGAACTTACACAAAAAAACAATGAGGGGTTTTGAATGAATTCTCTCGGATTGACAGTGACTTTAACAAATACATTTACCCTGTATAGAAATACAGTAATAAACTAAAACCACCCTTATTTATATAAGCAACAGCAATAAATGTCAAATATTTTGCTATAGAAAACCCATACCTAAACTACTGTTTAAACATTTGGGGTCGGCAAGTTTTTTTTATTTTTATTTTTTATGTTTTTTGAAAAAAATAAAGTCTCTTATGCTTAACAATGCAGCATGTATTTGATCAACATACAGCAAAAGAAGTAATATTATTTCAAATTTAATATTATTTCAATTTAAAATAACTTTTCTGTTATATAATTTATTTCTGCTATGCAAAGTTGAATTTTCATTACTCCAGTCTTCAGTGTCACATGATCCTTCAGAAATCATTCTAATATGCTGATTTGCTGCTTACGAAATATTTATTATTATTATGAGTGCTGAAAACAGTTATGCTGTTTAATATTTTGTGCATACTGTTGAAAATTTCAGTCACTTTGTCAATTTATTGCATCCTTGCTGTATAAAAGTTTTAATTTCTTTCAAAATTTCTTACTGATCCCAAACTTTTGAACGGGAGTGTACAAAAATTATCCTTCTTAAGGAACTTGGTTCATTATCACTGGCTTTAGGAAATTCACTCAAATGAGTCAGGCTTTCCAGTGCTTTTTAAGAGAGAGATTCAAGGAGACAGCATGTGCTATTTTGTTCATTTGCACCGTTGTAAAGCAGTGGCATCAGTTTTTAGAAAACGTAGCTTGTTACTGCAAAAGCTTTGAAAATAGTTACTGTCACCCTACTGAAAAATGTAAACAAGTTCATAGTATCGCTACTTTTAACTTGTAATCAAAACTGGAAAAAATCCTAAAGCTGCATCCCTAGTAATAAGTACAGTGTAGTTTTTTTATTGGGTTACTGGTTTTGTTGCCATTTTGCACATAAATAAATTTGAAGTCTTGCGAATGCGCTGTAGGTATTATAAACTGCAAGTAGAGATTTTTGACTTAATAGTGTTATTGAAGCCCCTACATGTAAAGTCAAACAATATTGAGTTGTATTTTAAAATTTACCTGTATAATCCATCTGTGTAACTTTGAAACACCATGGGTATTTTGAGAAGTGGTTTCCATTTCAGCATAACATGAAACTTTTTACTGTATGAAATTTGATTTAGTTGTAATTATATTATCTAGTCTTATCAAGCTGTACCAGAGTGAATTTAAGACATTTTTAGAACTAATACACTGAAGACTAAAGTAATATTTTTTATGCCTATTTGCTGTTGACTGAAAATGTGGCATTCAACACTATGCATTAAGGGAGTAAAAATTTAAATGGCAGGGCCCCTAAAGGACCTCAGCATTTAGTACTTTGCACTGGAAAAAGTAGTAATAACCTTCACATTTTGCTTGTTTCACGAATGCCTTTATTCATGAATCTCTGTGTGCGTGTTTGTGCATGTGTGTGTGCGTGTGTGCGTGTGTGTTTTCCTCTAAATGCATCTTTTGTATATTTGAACATGCACTGAGTTTTGCTGATGTCACACAGCCTTGTTGTAAGATCTGGTTGGAGGATGTGCATATGACTTGCTAATAAGAAATGAAACAAACAATAACGTTATAGAATAATTTTCTAACTTTAAAAAAAAATCTTTGAATATCCAAAAATTGAAAAAAGCTAATTATTTGCTAGTGCCATTATTTGCAAATTATATTGTCTGATTAATTATCCTCCCAGTATTTCAGTTTGTCACTAGTTAGGTCATTGTTATTGGCTAAGGATTGCTTATGAAGATCAAAAAGACAACCACACCTTTACTGTTAAATATAAAGGCTGATTTTATTTTATTTTTTTATTTTTTTCAGAAGATTACTGGTTTTGATAAATTACTGTCATTGTTGATCTAAATGTACTGTCACCTTGAAAATGAATTTGTTCAACACGGTTTGACAACACAATTTGTAATTGAAATAATATGAAAAAGCAGTGATTGAACTGTTTTGTAAACTGTTTTCTGGCAGACTACTTTCACTATTTTAATAAAAATGGCATAATCCTTTCTGTCACCTTGCTTGTATAGTTATGAATTGATAATAATATAGGTAATAGAAAGAGTTGATGAGGTTCAATTTAAGACCATTAGCGCTGGTAAAGTAACATCTGTGACTATCAGCAATGTGATGTCCTGGATTATAGCTCTGACCTTTTTACAGTTGAAAAAATCTTCAGGCCATTCAAAATGAAGATGAGGATTTTTTTTTCTTCATCAGAAGAGATTTGGAGAACATTAGTGTAACATCACTTGCTCACCAATGGATCCTCTGCAGTAAATGGGTGCCATCAGAATGAGAGCCCAAACAAATGATAAAAACATCACAATAATCCACAAGTAATCCACACAACTCCAGTCCATCAATTAACATCTTGTGAAGTGAAAAGCTGCTTGTAAGAAACACATTCATCAAGACGTTTTTCTCACTTCTGACCAAGTCCATAACTTTTAGTCCATCCCCCGTTGTCGTCTCACATCAAAATGCACCAACATATTTGTTTAGAACTGTTTTGTAGTGTTTTTGCTTGTAAAGAGTTCTTGATCTGTGCGTATTTCTCTCCTAATTCAGACGAGACAGATTTTTCAGAAGAAAGCAATACTATGGTCAGTCTCGTATTTTAGCCGGAAGCAGCAGTTTGAAGTTAAAAACACCTTAATGATTGATTTGTTTGTTAGAAACCTGTATTAGACTTTTGTGACGTCGTATTGTGATGTTGTTATCAGATGTTTATGCTCATATTCTGATGGCACCCATTCACTGCACAGAATCAAATGGTGAGCAAGTGATGTAATGCTACATTTCTTCAAATCTTTTTGTATGAAGAAATAAACTCCTCTTCATCTTGGATGGTCTGAGAGTTTCTGGATGAACTGTTCCTTTAAAATAATGCTCATTGCTTAATGAAATGTTTTTTCTGTCTATTTAGTGTCTATTCATTTGATTGCAATTGTTAAGTTGTCAAGTCGACTGGCATTGTGTTTTTATCTTTGTCTATTGTGTAATGATAATGTCATGAGTCTTTTGGATTTATGTGATGTTTTTTATGATTCTTATTTTCCATTTTTTCTGTAAAGTTGGTAGGGCCGTATTGTGTAAGTGTGAGTGTGTCTATGGAGCTCTAAAAGCAGGAGGAGGTAAGAAGCTTTGAGTGGCAGGCGGTCCTATGGAAGTGCTCGCCGAGAGAGGCCGGCCCGTCGCAGGATTAAGTGGGATAGAATCGGATTACAATCTGAGTTTCCAGAGACATTTTATAGTAAAATAACATGCATGTTGTCAGGCCAGAAGCAGAAGATCACCTTAATATAAAGCTAAACTGACAAGATGCTCCACAGCTACCTGGCCTAAACGTAGGATGAAGAAGCCTCAGTGTGGTCTGGAGGAAAACAGTGGCAGGAGTGTAAGAAGGTAAGTGTAGCATCATAATCTAATCTTCACATGACCTGCTTTTGTAGCAGAGTTCAGAGATCACAATCGATGTGTAATTTCATTCTTAAAATGGATGAAACCGTTTCGAGATGACTTCCATTTGAGATGTTTTAATTGTATTGTAGACCATCTTTCTAACAAAAGACACTGACTAACCATTATATTATTATATCTAACATAGGCTATCTCCAGAATAAAGGCTATAAAGTAAATAGGTTTCTTTTTAAGCATGTGTATTTTCATTAGAACTTTTTTTATTCTAATTTATGTATTTTAATGTGTGTAATTTTTTAGTTTGAGACACTTAAATGTGTTCGTAATCGTTCATTAAAATGACAAGTAGAAGCTATTATAGTTTGTACTTTAAAACACTGTAATCAGCTAACTCTGTAACGTTCCTGCCAGTTTTGCACTCATAATTTATGATTCTGCAGCAGAAATGCAAATTATGTTCTTGTTGACATTGCTGTGTTTCATTCAATTTTTTCCTAAATAATCCTTCTCATTAGGTTATTTTAATTTATTTTCAGTTAGAGGCACTTGAAAATGTTAGGAATACGGAATCAAAATGACCAGTTGAAGTTTAAGTTTTTTTTTTTTTTTTTTAAAGCAAACATTCTTGTTTCTTTAAAACATCATTTGTAGCCAACGTGCAATGGTTCTGCCAGTTTTGCACTTATAATTTATAATTTATAATTCTACAGCAGAAATGTAGATTGCACCCTTGTACTCTTAACATTGATTTGTTTTATAGGATTGCAGTGATCTGATGAACAGAGAAATTTGTCCTGCGGCAATCAATGGAGGAGGATCCAGTGATGCAACCTGGACATGATGACAATGGTGCGTCCTTGCAAATTCACAGAACAGTGATGTTGTACCTTGACATGCACAAAGGTAAACCAGCAAATCAAATACTACAGAAAACTGAGTCTTGTTCTCTTTCACAGATGTAGGTTTGGCTCAGATCTTGGCAGAAGTGGTAGAGGAAGTGAGACTGTCCATAGACAGAGACATTAACGGTGCCGATCTTCTGTACAGTCTCCTTAGTGCTCCTTGGCTTTACTCTCTTCTCAGGGTATGACATGCTCATTCAATACATATACCTATGACTATCCACTTTTGACATTATCCCAGGGCAGGTCATTGTACTCTGTGTATGAAGAGTTTGCAGCTGTCTTGCACATGAAGGATTTGATATTTCCTGTAGGTATATGAGTGTCTGGTGCAGCACAGTGGAGATGCCCCAAGCCCATACCTGTCTTATTCCTCGAAACTATCTCAGGAGGTCAGTCAATGCATTTTATTACTGACTTTGCTTTGAAGGGCTAATTTACAAAGATGTCAAAATCTATGATCCTTCCTGCAGTCATCAATCATATGAAACTCTCATGTCATATATAATGCCATAAAACAATCAAATTTAATCAATGAAACATGTTCATGTTAGTCAAAGACTACAGGACGTTCAGTGTATTTAATAGTAAAAAGCTATGTGAACTCACTGATTATATTAAGCAGACCTGGAACTGACTGATTTCAGCAGATTTCATTTTCCCATCATGCCTTGCTTCAGACTGTTAAAGGAGACTAAATGTTCAAATTAAGTGTTATTTTGTGTTTTTGCACATTAAGAAAGTTTATTTAAAAAGGGATAACTACACACTACATTACAGTGATAGTCTTTAGAA